TCTCTCTCTCTCTCTCCAAGTTAACCATTCTCACCGTTCTTGTGAGATGTTGTGAACGTACTCGGTCTGTGAGTAGGCGTTCGGCCGTTTGGTGCTTTTATTAGCACCAACGAAAACTCTTCTCTGGCCCCTTTTACAGTTTGCTCTCTCTGCAACCGGGTATCCCGTCACGATCGTATCCACGTCTGCTGCGCTGGTAGCAGCACGTCAATAACTTTGCTACCGTATACTTGTAAGTAAACCTTGAATTTGATGCTTTTTTGACATCTCTTCTCGGAGATATGTGTAATCTTGATATAAAAACTGCTGGTTGTCCTTACTACTGGCTTTACGAGAATTTCAATGGATATTCTATTACAACAACACTGTGACCTCGGGCAAGGTTTAGTAAAACATTTTTCCATCTACTAAAACAAAAATTAACTAGCTCCTTCAGTCCTTTTCAGTTTGACGAATATCATTAGATTCCTCATACGACATTGAAAAGTCAGTACAATTTGTAAGAGTTGACTCTCTTGAGAAAATACCCGTATGTATACCTCACGGGGGGTGGAATACCGTACATGGTCTGGTTGATTCAGAGATTCGTTGTTAAAATAAATCATTTAGCTCTCTTCTCGCTATAGACGGTAACACCAATTACACTATCGTTGTGGAAGTAAAATATTAATTATTATTTGTACACATGGCAATACACAGACATATCTCATAATAACCAGTTAATCCGTAATGTATTATATGAAAACCTTTTCTATGTAAATATTCGGAATTTATTACTTGATGCCAAGTTTCATTTGCAAATTACCTTATCTTTTATATAGCTTTAGAGAACGATTATTGGTAATATTTAATTCCACTGGATTATTATCGTTGCACGACTTGACCTTCTCAGAAGGTTCAAACTCACACTTGGTTGGATTTTACGCGAAGTTGCACGAGGGCCACCTGCACTAGCCTTCCCTAATCTTGAAGTAACAGACTAGAAGGAAGGCAGCTGGTCAACATCGCCCATTGTTAGTTCTTGAGCTACTCTTATCACAAAGTTGCACGAGGGCCACCTACGCTAGCCTTCCCTAATCTTGAAGTAACAGACTAGAAGGAAAACAGCTAGTCAACATTGACCATTGTTTGTTCTTGAGCTACTCTTATCACAAAGTTACATGAGGGCCACCTGCGCTAGCCTTCCCTAATCTTGAAGTAACAAACTAAAAGGAAGACAGCTAGTCAACATCACCCATTGTTAGTTCTTGAGCTAGTCTTGTCACAAAGTTACACAAGGGCTACCTGCGCTAGCCTTCCCTAATCTTGAAGTTACAGAGTAGAACGTAGATAGCTAGTCAACACCACCCAGCGTTAACTCTTAGGCTACTCCTGTGAGAACCAATAGTGGGATTTGACCATCACTCTCATGATTGAAGTTTTTGACTGGAATTAAGAAATACTCTTCGAATTTTACATCTCACCTATCCGCCAGTTTCTCGTCGCACAGGACAGTTTCAGTAATACTCTTCGAATTTTACATCTCACCTATCCGCCAGTTTCTCGTCGCACAGGACAGTTTCAGTGGTAGTGTGTATTTAGGCTGGTATGTAACATCTGAACTTATTATGTTCTCTAAATTTATGTGGGTATAGGGGAAATATTGCTTCACACTCTATTATCCTACGTTGAAACTAACATGTCCTCTGACAGCCGCGGTACTGTATTCTAACCCACAAGGCTCAATAGAATATCACTCCTGGAACTGGAGAGGTTCGACTTCCTGACTTGTACATCCCAAGAGTGCCTAGATAATACAATTTATGTATAATGGCATAATTAGTGCATTTATAGCACTTGTGTCTGAATTATTGTCGTGTATGAAAGACAAATGAAAAATGTGTGATTGGAAGTTTGGGTTTGTTTGTATTAAATGTATTCAAAGTATTCCAGACTCTTAACAAAAACAACTATGAGGGCATTGTCAGGAGTTGAAATGTTTCGCATTTATGTTGAGGCAGGTATTTGAGATGTTAATCATTTGGTTAATATTACTGGTATACACGTTATCATTGAAAGCATGTTATTTCTATTTGTATATAATCCATAATACGGACATGAGTGTCCATTATATAAACATTCTGTTCACTATGGTTTCACGTTTCCCCCTTTTCCCACTAGGTTTATAGTTAACTAGCTGACGTGTACCTGTTTAACGCATCTGAAAGACATTGCCCTCCAGGGATGGGGTGGGACCAGGGGGCAGCTAATCAAGACCACTCACCAGCAACTCTTCAGCTATTCTAATCGAAGAGTGAGATTTCACAGTCACTCTTATAACACACAGTACCCCAAAGTGCAGGTGCAATTTTGCAGCAACGGGACGCCTACCATAAACCTTCGGGTTCAGAGTCCAGCACACTAAATAATAGGTCACATTTATGATAAAAGAAAATTGATGCTACATTATCAATACTGTTTTTGTTTTGTTTTGTGTGTAGTTAAGCTCAAAACTAAATAATGGGCTATTAATGCCGTGTCCATCACGAGTATCAAAACCCAATTTCTTGCATTATAAGTCCGGAAATTTCCCGCTGTGTCACTGAGGTGCTGTCAATACCGTATCAATAAGTCTGATTTGTCTGTTTGTAGTGAAGCCCAAGCGATACAATAGTCAATCTGTGCTGTCCTCACCAAAGATATCAACAACCCGATTTCTTGCGTTATAAGCCTTCAGACTTCCCGCTAAGCCACTGGGGGACGATTCATCAGCCTGAAGCAAACTAAACTGTTTCTTATTTTTACTGTTGTGAATAATACTTTTAATTAAACGTGCTTTGTTCTCGTGTATGGAGTAAACTGAAACGATGCAACAATTACATACCTGAATCTGTTCAATCGTCATTTCATTCAGTTCACGTGAAATATCAAATTATATATGTTAATTAAGTAATATGAAGAGAAATGTATACAAACTACGTTTTTAACAATCATAAAAACGTTAAAAATATTACAGCGTGGAATCATCGTTATATTCGATGTCAAAATAAAAAGAAACTTTTACCTGTCTTTCTTTATATAAATCATAACAATTTACCAATTATTAGCCATGTTTAGATTGCTGCCTCTGCTAAAAAGTCTAACTATGAATTTTTTTCATGAAATATTATTATTAAATGTAACTCTCTTAACATTACTTTCATACAGTAAATATTATAAAATAAATGCACAGGTAAAAAACAGCCTTTGTCATATACACTAGTTACGTCTGAAATGCGAATGACGTCACACACGTGCGATCTTGTGACGTACTTAGATGGTCAGAAAAGGCAATTTCGCTGGTTTTATGCGTCTCGATGATGTGCGAGTCAAACGCAACCAACTGCAAGCAGATAAAAATCGATATACACCCTCAGAAATCCTTTAATCCAACACACGATTCCAAAAATGGAATATTATTTTCTTTATTCCACTTTCATCTCTATCACACCAGCTCGCTCTAAAATAAACCTGTTTATCTTATTTTTTGTAGTGTTTTTTTAAAAAAGAATATCTCCAAATAGCCTGGTGATCTGTAAACAGGCGGTAACCATAAATAGTAAACAGTTGACTTTAAATTTACTTCAAACATGCGTCTATTTTAATTCTATCGAAAAGGATTCTTCTGAGAATTTCATTGGTGTCACTCAATAGGTTTCGTGCATTCCATCAGAGAAACATTAAGATAAATAATTCTGCTGAATGACTGGGACGTACTCAAGTTAAATAGATAACAATAAAGATACACAGATGGAACAAGAGCCCCCTCATTCCTCTTCCTTACAGCTATAAATCTAGATGACTCTTCCCATACCACTTCAGTGAAAATGTAAGCTTGAAATGTGTCATCTCCGTGCGGAGTCACTGTCAGAACAGATTAATTTTTCAACAAAAAGTGTTTAAGCCCCACCCCCCACCCCCCCTATGCAAGTCCATTTCACGGTTATTTTGAAATAATACGATTAAAAACAGCCATAAAAAATAAATGCTACGCTCTTTCACCCGGTATGTGGTGTAACTAAAAATACTGCAATGCGTGTTCCAGTTGGCATTGCCACAAACAGTGATAAGAAGATAAAAAGGACACTCACTACTGGAACCGTTAGGGAACTTTATACGTCATACAAACATACGATTAACTTATACAGAGGATTTAATCATCACGTTTCAATTGGAGGGTGTTTTCTTCAATATAACATTTTTCCTTTTGTGCATCAGTCACAGTCAGATCTCACAACTTAAAAATTATCCCTTTCTTTTAACACTTCTGCATAAAATTTTATTTAAGTTACCTTGTTGTTACTAAGTTCTTTGTAGTTAATACTACCAATTGAGGTGAAAGAAAGGTGCAATATTTAATGTTGGCAAGCATATAAAGGTTAACAAAACTACCAAACATAACGACAGATATAACAAAACCAATTATGGTCCATGATATAATTATTACTCGTAAAAGGGGCATTTAATAGAAGCTGTTTTCCCGCGCATCGTGGCAGACTACTTTCAACGGTTTTATCGTAAACGCTTCTAGGTTTTACAAAGGACATTGCGTTTTAAAAATTATTTTTCCTTGAAGTATAACTAACGAGAAATTAATTTTCTCAATTTCATTTCAGGAATTAATTTTTTTCTGGCAGTCCTGTAACGACAATAACGTGCGAAATATAATAATTCAATAATACCCTTACTGTCCACATTTTTACATACTGTAATCAATGCTTCAGGCGTGTTTTTCCTTTTTCAACGAGATTTGAATCTGCAGAACTTTCAATTTTTGGAAAAGTGTATTTAATAAAATAATTACATTTTCTCTATCCGTTTCTGACTATACTATCATCTCAGTAACATAAATAACACCGTTCAGGTATCGCTTAACACCATACTGACCAAAAATTCAAAATCATTTTCCTTGGCCATTGCCAAAAGAAAGACATGTATGGTTGTTAACCGAGTCCTATTCAATTGTCTACGTAGATATGGTACAAAATAAATAATCTTTAATCAAGTGATTTTGTTTGCTTGTTGTTAAGTACAAAGATATATTGTGCTCTGGCTACCCGGGAATCGAAACCCAATTTTTAGCTTTATAAGCCGATATAATTACTGTTGAGCCACCAGGGAACTAATTAATTGATAATATTTGTTACAATTTAAATCAAGTACTCCCCCATCAATCACATATAACCAATGTATAATGAAATAAAAGTACAGGATAATAGGACACAAATAGCATCACATAGCATCCAGATAGATGTACTAGGACAAAAATAACAAATATAATAATATAAGGACTTATGCTAATGAAATTGAAAGTTTGAGGTTTAAAGAAATTCTGAATCTGAAAAAAAATATCAACGTCATTGGATCCAAGATCAGTAATGATACAATTAAATAAATTGTAAGGTATCCGAATACTTACTTTCCTCCTGTGAATTAGGTGGTGGCGACAGAACCTAAAAGAGAAAACAAAAATTTCTGAAAAAGGTTTAAAATAAAAATCTGCATTCATTTAGAATAATAACAAACATTACATGAGGCATAAAATATAACAGTTATATACTAATGGCAAATGAGGATCCGTGAGCCTTACTGTAAGGTTATGCAAGAAAAGACCTTTATAATTATACAGCGAGTGAAAGTCTTTCTAATAAAGGCTAAATACACGCAAGTCCTCTACTTAGACTACGCTGAACGTTTGTTTGTAATTAAGCACAAAGCTACACAATGGGCTATCTGTGCTCTGGCCACCACGGGTATCGAAACCCGGATCTAGCGTTGTTTTTCGTTCAGCGGTATGTCTGCGGGCATACAATAATAATAATTAAAACACTTGCTTTTTAGTACAGTCAGTACAAATGTGTGTTCAAATTTTGGCTAACATGTATAACCTGTTCTTAAATATGCAAACAACAAATTTAGTTAATTTACTTTCTTTGGTCGTAATGATTCGCTTAAGAATGCGGATGATTCATATACATGTAGTTCTACAACACTGATTGTTTAGTTTGCCATTTCACAGAAAAATAAAACAAAATTGGTGTACTCAACTTTTTCATAAGCATGGATACACAGAGTAACAAATGCAAGTTGATCTAACGAAGAAATGTAGAAACTTTGGGTATGTGCAAATGTTTTGATGAACAGACGTATGAACGATCACCATTTCCGCTTAAAGCAGTGGTTCTTAACCTTTTTTGCTCCATGCCCCACCTCGACACCTCAAAAAATTTGATGCCCCCTCAATATAAAAACAAATTTGGTGTTGAAAAGGTATAATAATATAATGTCAAATTTGAAAATTTACCTAAATTTCACACCCAAATGAAAAAATTTTCTTATTGTAGCATTTTCAAATTGACCCCTCCATTATATTCAAATTGCCCCATATTCAAAATCATTGGCTTAAAACATTTCTGTTATCGCTCTGTGTCGTTTGGGTATTAATTAACTCAAATTTCAAAGTTATTTTTATTACACACACCCTAGGTAACGGCATATTAAAACGTTTCAAAGTTCAACCACTGTGAGACAGTAGTTATAACTAGTATCATTGGTTCACTCACGAAACTCGTTTTCATTGTCTATACAATGACACATAAACTTGAATACTAACACAGCGGAAGCATGCCTACTTACAGAAAGTCCGTTTCCGGCCGAAACTCAGCAACCACCTACCAGTTACTGATCGAGCTAGAACACAACTTTCTGGTACACACAGGAATATCTTCGTGCCCCGAAGTCTAGTATATAGCGTTGTGCTAACTATTATTAGCAACACACAGGAATATCTCCGTGCCTAAATTCTAGTATAGAGCGTTGTTCTAACTATATGGTGATAGAGCCTTTACAGAAATACTTCCGTGCCCAAATTCTAATATGTAGTGTTGTGCTAACTATATGGTAGTAGACCCTCAGCAACACACAGAAATACCTCTGTGCCCAAATTTTAGTATAGTGCGTTGTGCTAACTATATGGTGGTAGACCTTTGCAGTTGACTAAAAGTGGCCATGAGCGAGGAAAACTATGACTTACACATGAAGCTAAAAACTTTTACAATCATCAAGAACTAAGCATTTCTACTGCTATAAAACATGTATTTAATGTATAGTTTACAATGTGATTATAAAGCCACTAAGGATATCTTGAAAAATCTCTACTGTGTGCATTATACTTGTTTGTATAAATAACACTAGGGGCGCCACTATACAAGCTCTTCAGTTCTGTCACCAGTAATTGTACTGAGAGAAAGCAAAGAATGTGTAAACCACACTACATCTACCATATCCGGTGCTGACAAAGCCTTTCGTCCAATACCAGGGCTCATCAGGCTGGCTGAGATAAAACAGACACAGTGGTGGTTGAGGTGCTATTTATATCCTCAATTAAATGAAAAAAATATTTTATGGTGTGAACTACATTAAATAAGTGAATTGTAATCATTATCAGCTTTACTTAAGTCACTAAACTTCACCCCAGGATTCGCCAAAACCTCTAATGCAATGGCACCTTTCAGTTGAGAAATGGTTGTTGGCTTATGTTGACAGACCTCCTCCCCGTCTCTCTCTCTCTCTTCTTTTTTCTAGAAAAAAAACCATAACCAGTAGCCTTGCCGGTGAAGTCAGGGAGGTGTAATGGCTAAACACGATGTATAAGGGTGTTGAGAACTTCTAACGAATATGCTGACAACAACAGCTGCATAGCCCACATGTTGTGTTGATCTCTGAAGGAGTATGCCCCGAATATTACATCCATTTTTATGGTTTACCTCTACCAATATGATTGACTATTTCAAACATTATATCATGTTGTGCTTCCCAGTGCTAGCAACGGAAAAACTGTTGTGTTCAGACCACGTGTTCAAAGGCTAATTTGAAAATGTTGCAGCCCCTGAAATAATTTCGACAAATCAGTGAAATGTACATCACATGATCCCTTATGCATGAGCGCAATTTACGTCACCTGTTTCAAATACACAAAACGATGTTTATAGACACCCTGTACCTGTATATTAGTGAACATGTATATATTAAAACATATCAACGAAATGAAGTTAATTCTAAATAATACAGCATCAGGTGTGCTTACATTAATCCATCATTATGCACACACTCGATAGTTAGAAACATAAAATGAAAAGTGACATGTATATGTGGATATTAAAATTTTAAACTGTAAGTGGTCTCGCCCAAACGAGATATTAGGTAAACAACACAGTAAATTTTTTGTTGAAATAAATACTTAAAATGTACCAACAGATGCTAATCTTCCTCATAACCTACTCAGAAGTTATACCACTATGCATTAATCAACACAAACATGTGAGTAACTACAAGGTAAGCAGAAGTCAGACTTTGTGCAGGAGGTTTGTCACTCACTCCATCAATAAACAAGAATGATCCTAAAGGACATGCCTATCTGTACAGCTATGGACAATTGTTTTGCTTGTAGCAACAATTCCTGTCTAGGGGAAAACTGTCTTACAGATAACAATAACCTATGGTCAAAGAAAAACTGTTTTATAGCTAAAGACAAACCGTTTTATCAGTAGCAATAACTGGTAGACAAAAAACAGCAGCAATAACCTATGACTAAAGAAAGACAAATTTATAGGTAACAACCTATTGTTAAATACAACAGTTTTACAGGTAACAATAGCCTATGGCTAAAGGTAAACTGTTTTACAGGTAACAGTAACCTATGGCTACAGAAAAAGACTTTAGCAGTAGCAATAACTTGAGACTAAAAGAGATATCTTTTACAAATAGTTATTATCTTATAACAAAGAACAAAAAAAAAATATATATATATATATAGTGAGTAAACAATTTGTGGTTGGTGATGAAAGAAACCACATGAAACGTTTTGACAACACACAGCTAAGAACACACTAAAACATAAAAGAAGTAAAATTAATACAAAAACTAAAGTCTCCTTACAAAATGGTGAAAGACTCCGCCTAGGTTTAACAAGAATAGAAGTATTACATTCCTGAGGAACTTAACTTTGCTTGAGGAATTTCATATTTTTGGTTGGCTTTCCTTATCGTGAATGCATGATCCATCCATATTCCTTTAGTTATGACCAATGAAAGAGAACATATTGCATGGATTAAATAAAAACAACAATTCATGAGGATATGCAACCTTACATGAGGGAATGTAATATTCCTGACAGCTTCCCTTGAGTGAAAGTAATTTTATTTCATTATTTCTATCCCTGTGTCAGATATAAAAGACTGTTTAGTGTAGGCAGTATTATTAATTTATTTATTTTGTGTTTGTAATTCACTGATGTCAAGGCTTTCAAACATTGTGTTTGCAATCCATTAATATCAAGGCTATGTAGATAGCCTTGATATTATATCAAGGCCTAAGTGATAGATGTATCAATCACAATGACCAGACGAGCCGACACAGAGAGAAAAAGAAAGTCACGTGAAAGAGAAGATCAGTCAGAGAAAAGTTCTATTACTCAAATTAGAGTGAGATTAACAATTTTGAAAGAGATAAAGAGAATAAGTTATCTCATCAAACGGTGTTCTAAAGTAAGTGAACCCACCTCACTGGACTTTGACAAAAGGCAGACGACTATTGGAAGTACACAAGCAGACAATTATTAAAAGTACAGGACACAAACACAGTAACTCAATGACAACATAAGTGAAATATACACAAATGCTATCACAATAGAAATAGAGAGAAAAATAGATAGGCTTGTCAACTGAATTCTAAAGCAATTGAATTGGCCTAAGTGGACTTTTGACAAGAAGAAGAGAACTGTATAGTGTTTAAGATTCAACTGTGGTCTCCATAGTGTAAAGAATTTTGTACATACATTTAACTTGTTTCAAATATATATTATTTTAAAAACAAGTGGAGTGCGTGCTGTTCATTTATTGTTGAATTTATTACCAACAAATCACAGACACCTACTGTAGAAGAATCCTTAACCCAAGATCCATATACTTACATTACTATATATACCACTAAAAAGTAAGTTTGGACACACTGTATAATACTTCAAATGTATCTTAGCCATTATTCCCTTCCAAAAACAAATCTAAATTCTATAACTAAGTAATAGCATGAGTGGCCACTAAACCATGGGTTGAATCTAGTTTGTAGCATGCGATAAAAAATGCATCAAATCTATCCTTCACTGTGTCAAATAAGGCTAATTTTCTAAATAGCAGGATATTTACTTTTTTTTTTATAACCACCAAGAATAGGTGCAAAAAAAATGTTTTGGAATTTGGTTGTTATAAAATTTAACCCACAACCTAGTTAGAATACTCTATACATTTAAAAATGATACTATTCTTTGGACAATTGTGGCATTTGCATAATGCTTAAAATCAAGGAAGTGAGTCTCTAAAACACTGAAACTTTATAGTGAAGATCCACACAGAAACTTCTTCCACCAGAACAAAGAAAAAAAAAAAAACTTTTAGAG